GATAGTTTTAAATTATTTATTCCGAGAAAGTTTACCATACAAAAAAAAAATCAATATTATTTGTTGGTATTTTCAGAAATCTATATCGAATTGAAATTATTGATACCAAAAATAAGGCTATTGAACATACAGTGTAAATAGGGCATTTGAATTTTCTAAATTCATGTTCAAATAGATTATCATTCACATATTAAAAAGATCAAACAATGACAGATAAAGATCGTCGTCGGTGACAACGACGCGTAATAATCAAGGAAAAATCATGCGTGTGCTACCATTACTGTACCGAGCAATATCATACAAGAGATTTAATAGGTGATTAAATAAATTGATAGGTGAATTGAATACAGGATTTGTGAAGGCACAAAATGTAATAGAAAATCATTGTGTGGTACGGATTTTCATATGGTTTTATTTGTTATATTATTGCATACATATGAAGTAACCGCATAACGGATTGTTGGATGTATAAGTGAACGTGATTTGCAATGGTTGTTTTTGCACCACCCAATCCGAGCCACATGTCAGAATTTATTTGCAACTTAAAAAAAAACTTTACCCTCCGATTTCAATGTCATTATTATGCAATCACCCACAAAAACCGAATTCACTTCGAAGGCGACGAAGCCCGCTCACGGCTCCAAACCTGTGTTTAAAGAAAAATTCGTAGAAATATATGAAAAATTCTTCAAAGTAAATCTCATGCTCGATTAGGAAACTTTGCACGACGCCATTGTTTTAGTGACCCAATTGTTTTTAACTCGACAGGGAAATGATCCTTCGACGGAGTCACCGAATTTTTGGAGCGAATTATTTTTACTCCGAGTCAACTCGGCCTATTTGACGAAGCTCATCGCCGAAACATCTCAGGAAAAATTATTAACCATCAAGGTATGGAATTATGAATGCAACCACATTATTCCGAATAAAAATATAATCGAAATATGTCAATGCTTTTTTTACTTTTGTACGTTATAGAATAATATTAGCAAAATATTCCTGAAATCCATCGAAGCTTTGAAAGAGGAAAACAGTAAACGGAGGATGAATGCAATTGAGGTGATCGAGTGATTTCTTTCTGCGATCCATCATTCCTCGGATGAATTAAAATTGTAGTTTACGCATTTTCGTATCCCAATGCAGACCCTTTGCGTACTCCTTCAAGGAATATTTGACAAGAGATTTAACAACTTTAGTTTCGAAGTTATTAATCTGCTGACCGGGTTGAACAATGCCGACATCATATTCCCGGTAAAAATTTGATTCCCATCACGTCTCACACTACGAGATCTAACACAATTCACAATTGAATTTTTAGAAATTGGTTGATGGAATTTATTCTTTGATGAAAGATGGGGAATCAGGTGTGTGTGTCCGCCGTGCCTCCTATTTCTGTAATTTCACCAAATCACGGATATAAATAGCGCTAATTCATTTGCACATGAAGTTGAGATCAAGTGTGAAGCCTTGCGCCTTGCGATTGTGGTGGTATGCGGGAATAACAATATCAACCAGAATAGCATAAACGAGTATTTCATGAAAAACGAGATATTCGATCCATTGTTGAAAGTAAATAGGATCTTTCGTTAATTCATCCATTTTTGACAAATCTCCAACGTACTACCTTTCTTTAAAATTGTCCGCAAAGATGATAATAACACCCGAGGTTTCACATGTCGCCTACGATGCTATCATGTTGCTGGGCATCTTGGTCAATTATAATAAGCACGAATCCAAGAATCCCTATCTGTCAAAGATTTCGGAAATCAGGGATGAATTGATCTTTCAGGTACGTATCCGCTATTTCATAGATCGACCAATGTTATACCTCATTTGATGAATGAAATATCGATTTTTACATTTTAGAAAATCATGAAAACCATAGCGGTCACCTGCTTGAAATGCCGCAAGTAAGAGAGAAATCTCTTGTCATCATTAATGTAGAAAGAAAGCGACAACATTGACATTGCTGTGCATATATCATTTTAGTGAGTACATTGATATCCAAGATGATGATGAGACGAATAAATACACAGTCACCTCAGTCTTATCTTATGTTGGTGTCCTTCTTCCTTGGGGAGGAAACGGCAGCGCACGAAGAAAAACGGGTGATCTTGACCCCGAGTTATCATTTGGTCAATTGTAAGTAACACGCGTTCGTCATTTGGTTCACGGTCGTTGAGGAATATACATAACCGCGGCATTTGATGTTACAGACCATCAACGGATGTCGCGATACTTTTAATATTTTACGATCTCGTGAATAACAATAAAAAGTTCGTTGCGCACATAGCGAAATCCATCACCGAACGCGGCTTGAACGTCGAGGTCAATCCCGACGATAATAATGGTAGTGATGATGATAGAATTTGTTACTCGTATTTTACGAAAAGCATGAAAAAAAATGGAGACGACTATATTTTATATTTGCCATCGATCCAGGTGTCCCACCTATCATCGATTTCCTTTCGTTTTCTTCTTACCTTTTACAACACAACCGTTCAATTCGCACCGCGAGTTATTCAAGGATCTCCTTGCTAATTCTGGTAATCTTGCTGGAGGATGAAATGTTCGACGAGCATACTTGTGATGAACGAAGGAGTTATAGTGTGAGACTTTGTAGGCAGGTATGCTTCATCAAGACTGTGATTGTTTGGCATTGTGGTTTGAAATTTTTTGATTCAAAAGAGAAAAAAAAATAAAAAAAAAAATAAATAGCGGCAGCCACTACTCTCTATCACCAAGACACCGTCTCCCTTGGTTTGTGCCATATTAGACATCTCCATAGGATTTATAAATCACAATATGAGGAAGAGGCTATCGACCGATCTGTTCAGGTTTGGATGCTAGAAAAACCTTGGTTGCCTCTCTTAACATCAAAATGCATTATTGCTAACGCGACCATCTACAGTTTATCATTAAAGATTATACACAGAGTGTTGTTCTATCTAAAAAAATCTCGTATCAGACTGAGTAAATAATCGATGATATTCTTCTTAGACCTTGTCATGTAAAAGTTTCATCAAAATATCGTTCCTGAAATTTGAAGGTTACCATTGGACCGAGCTTTGGAACTCGATAACCGGCTTACTCAAATTCATCCTCTCGAATAACGATCACTTTGACCAAGATCGCTCTTCGATCAACGAAATATTGACTTCGGCGATAAATGTACTCAACGTATGCATCGCATTTGGTGATTCGCTTCTTCCAGATCCCGCAGCTTATGATAATCTATTTTACGAGATTGTGAGATCAGACGAGGTCTTCAAGAAACTTCACGGAATACGTCCGTATTGAATTCATTCCATTCTTTGAACGCCTG